TATGAATGCATCAGGGATGTTTTTACTTGCATTACGTATGTAGATTGTAAAGAGGGTGGATCCTAAGACTGAGCCTTGTGGTACACCATTGTTGACTGTTAAATAACTGGAGAAAGTGCCATTATGTTGAACACATTGCCTCCGATCTGAGAGATAGAGAACCAACCAATGGTGTGTTCTGAGAAACCGATTTCTGAGAGCTTATGACACAAGATGTTATGATCCACAGTGTCAAAAGCTTTAGACAGGTCTAAGAAAAGTGCAGCACAATAATCCTTAGCATCCAATGCTTCAACAACGTCATTAAGAACCTTCAGTGAAGCAGTGGTTGTGCTGTGTTGTTTCCTGAAACCAGATTGATGGAGAGGTAAGATGTTAAATGAGTCCAGGTCATTTTTGATTTGAGAGTTTATCAGTTTTTCTAGAACTTCGGCTAAAATGTAGAGTTTATAGATTGGCCGATAGTTGTTCAGTGAGGTGGGGTCTCCTCCCTTCAGCAGAGGTAGAACAAAGGCTGTTTTCTAAGTGTCTGGAATGGAGTTTTGGCTTATGGAGAGATTAAAGATGTGGGTCACAGGGACTGTGATGATATGAGCAGCCAGACTTAAGAAATAAAGTGGAAGTTCATCTGGACCTGCAGATTTTTTAGGATCAAGATCTTTTAACAGTTTATTGACCTCACTGACTGAGAATGGAGAAAAAGAGAAGGTGTGATTACCTGAGGATTGACTTGTAAGAGGGATTTTATTTGTTGAAGTTTGGTTATTAAGTGAAGTGGCTGATTTTCCATTAGTAACTGTGTCAAATAAAGAACTAGAAGCAACAAAACGTTTGTTGAAACAGTTCAGGATCTCGTGCTTATTTGACACAGGAACAGAGTTAATGAGAAGTTGTAATGGGAGGTCAGATGATTGGGGGCTGCCTGAGAGAGATTTGATGGTTTTCCAGAATCTGTTAGGGTCATTTAGATTTTTGGAGGTCTGAGATAAGAAATAGTTGTGTTTTGCTGCTTTGATGGCAGTTGTGCATTTATTCCTCATCTGTCAAAAACTCAACCAATCAGTGTCTGAGCCAGATTTTCTCGCTGCAGCCCAAAGATGATCTCTCCTGTGCAGGTCAGCTAGCTCTGGAGTAAACCAGGGGCGGTCTTGTCCCTTTATTCTGAACTGATGAAAAGGAGCATGTTTGTTCACAAAATAAATGAAACTATTATGAAAATAGTTCCAAGCGGAGTTCACGTCATCAGTTAATAGAATATGATTCCAGTCAAAGTGAGACAGATCCCAGAGGAATGACTTCACAAAAACGTTTCAGATCCCTTTTTTTTTTTTAATTAATCTGGGCTTAGAAGGTGGAAGTTTAATATCTCTTAGAGTCGCTGTCACACAATGATCACTCAAAATGTCAGCGAATACATCTGTACTGAATTTGTGAGGCATATTTATTAGAAACAGGTCTAAGATGGAAGATTTTTCAGGACGGTTTTTGTTTGGTCTAGTGGGAGAGTCGATCAATTGGGTAAGATTGAGAGACAGGCAAGATTCCTTGAATTTATCACAGAGGGGGGTTGACTTATCCTAGTCAATGTTGAAATCTCCTGCCAAAAAAATCTCTTTGAATTTTAAATTTCCAAGGAAATCCATCAGGGAGGACAGAGCCTCAGGTGTTGCTGAGGGGGAACGATAACAACCCACTACAAATAAGATCTGACCTCCATTCAAAGTGATGCTTACAGTTAAGGCATCAAATTAGTTTGAAATTGTTTTAGAAGACACAAGACTAGCAACCAGAGAATCTCTGATGTAAATAGCGACTCCACCCTCCCTTTTTTGACGATCACAGCGGTAGATGTTAAATCCATTGATTACCAGGTCATTATTCAGTACAGATTTGTTGAGCCAGGTTTCAGAGATGAAGATTACATCTGTCCCAGAAGAACTGACCAGAATTTTCAAGGCATCAAGTTTTCTCACAAGTCTACGTGCATTTACATGAAGAAAATGAAGACCTAACATGTTTTTAAAGTCATTTGGTGAGCAGGTCCCTGGTTCAAATCCCGGTCCAGGGGCCTCTCTGGGTGGCGTTTGTATGTTCTCTCAGTGCATGCGTAGGTTTTCTCTGGGTACTCTGGTTTCCTCCCACAGACCAAAAACATGCATGTTAGGCTGATTGGTAACTCTAAATTGTCCCTAGGTGTGAGTGAGAGAGTGCATGTTTGTCTCGTTTGTCTCTATGTGGCCCTTTGATAGACTGGAGACCTGTCCAGGGTGTACCCCGCCTCTCACACAGTGATTGCTGGACATGGGCACCGGCGACTCTCGTGACCCAAAATGGAAGAAGCAGGTAAAAATAATGGATGGATGAATGGATGGATGGATACTAAAATAAAGTAAGCAAATATAGTACTAAAAATGCAGGTTTGTACATACATTCACACACTCACCCATACAAAACACAGAACTCGTCATGAACATTCCCTGACTGAACATTTGCATTTCTTTAACTATTCCCTTGAACTAAACATTTGGAGGACGTTGATCCACACCACTGAGGAAGGAGCAACTAGTCACCTTACCAAAGCTTCAAACCAAAACTTCATACAACAGTGTCTACTAACTAAAAAAATAAAACAACATAGTTAACCCTTGATAGAATGGTAGTAACTTATTTTAAGGCTCAGCTGTTAGCATTGATGGAATAATCAACTTATTGATTATTCTTTAAATTCTTTTTATGTTTTACTTTTAAGTTTTTATTAAAAGTTTATTTATTATGGTTTTCTCTTATCATTTTATTTCATGTTCATGCTCTGTTCAGTGGAAAGTTCCATGGAGGAAGTTTTGATGTTTTGCAACCTCACAATCAAGCTTGCAAAAACATATTGAGTAACTAATCATGTTGTAGTCACGCTATACGATCACACCCACAATTTTTTGAAGTGAATAAAAAGAGCAAGAGGGAACGAGCAAGTCGAAGTGAGTTGGAGAGAGATTGTCTCTTGAGCTGCTCTTCCTCTTTGCAAAGAAAGATCTCACTCTTTGTGTCCATGTTCCTTTGTTTAGACCTAACGTAACTAATTCCTAAACAGTTCAAATTAGAATTATAATAAGTGAACTAAAGCAATCAGTTGTTTATTTAAGCTACGTATAAACTCAAAAATTATCCTGCAAATGTTTCCATCGCTGATCAGTATTTATTGGAGTAGGAACAGTCACAGAATGTCTTATCGGTTTACCTGTTTCTTAGCCAGCTTATTTTTATGACTCACTGATCATGGGCATCTGCTATGGTTTACTTTGGAAGACTTGTGAAATTTCTCAGCTTCTTGGGATGTCGAGAAGAGTTTGATCTTTCCACCATGAAGAGTCCAAAATCTGCAGGGGTTATGTTGGAAGCCGAGGAATGCGCCAATGCCAATATACAGCTTTACCACCGGTTGAAACCCGTGTCGGATCCGAACTGTCTCTGCTGATAGATCTTGTGCAAACGTGATTTTGGCCCCGTTGTGTATAATTTCTCTTTTCCTCGCCTCTTGGTACACAAATTCTTTCTCCTGGAACTTTAAGAAGTGAATCAAAACCGCTCTGCCTTGGTTTGGTTTCCCAGAGGCCAGCGTGCGGTGCACCCACTCCAGTGTGATTGACTTGTCTGGTGCTAGCTCCAGCCACTTTGGTAGCGTGTTGTTAATAAAGTCAAATAGTGGTCGTCTTCCCTCTGCTCCCTCTCGAATGCCAAAGATACGTTTTTTTTGTCTTCCCCGGTTTTCTAGGTCATTATTTTAGCCTCAAGGAGCAGAATTCATTTCATAGGTGAAGTTAACGATGTTTCTGCTTTTTCGAGTGAGCTTTCTACCTCGGCGATGCGGGCCTCGGCCTCTTCCATATGAGTTGCCTGGTTCAATAGATCTTGTTTTACCTCAGACACTTTACCCTCTAGTGCAGCCATAGCGCTCGCCATTCCTGTCAGTCTTTTGTCAATACTATCCAACTTAACTCCAAAATGTGACTGGAGCGACTTTAGCTCCTCTAATACCTCAGCTATAGTAGCCATGTTAGCATCAGCACCACACGTCGGGCTTGGTGTTGTAGTTTTGGTACTTTTCTTATGTCTTCTTGAAAATATTTCGCACTGTTTCACAGATGAAGATTTAGACATAGCAGTGTTGTATATTCTGAACCTCGCTTACAGCCTTTACAAGGATTTTTAAAAGAAAGTTAGAGCACTATCTCCGGAGTTATTCACTATGCTGCCATCTTGAAGCTCGGTCACGTGACTTGAGTTGTTCTGGACACGTCCCACTGGAAGTAGACCCAGAGGAATACCCAGGACACGCTGGAGGGACTATGTTTCTAGGTTGGCCTGGGAACGTCTTGGGATTCTCCCGGAGGAGCTGGGCAAAGTGGCTGGGGAGAGGGAAGTCTGGACCTCCCACTTAGGCTGCTACCCCTGTGACCCGACCACAGATAAGAGGAAGAAAATGGATGGATGGATGCACACACACACATACCCACACATACATATATATATAGTTCAAAATGTGAGCATGTTGTGTTTATGCTTGTGTAATAAGAAACAAAAAGAAAGCTGTAGACATGTCTCAGTTTATTCATCACTACTCTGATTTAGACCACAGAAGACAAATTACATGACTCTAGGTGGCCAGCAGTCCTAAAATGTGAACAATGTAGAATTCAAAGAGCGCACAGTGTTATCTGATTACATCATTTTAAAACAATCTGGTAAAATTATGGTTGACTGGTGAAAAACAATGATGACTTTAATCGTAATAACACTGGGAGTCCATCTCCTTAAATTTTGGTGACATTTGTATTATTTGTATCAGCTGCATGATAGTCATGCAAATACCATACAGTATACAGTACTAACATTAAAATTTTCAGAACACACAAGCAAGCTCCACTGTAATCTAAAAGAACATGCAAAAACATAAAAACACACATACAGTATTACATATATATATATATATATATATATATATATATATATATATATATATATATATATATATAAATCTCATAACAAATTGGTGAAGATTCTCAGTCGTCCAGGGCACAGCAAGTCCACATCATTTATTAAAAACAAAACAACTGAACATCTGTTCTGTAGAAGATGTTTCACTTGACCAATATATTGCTTATAATCTCTTAAAATTATGGAAGAGGATAAGGGCCACCGTGCAAAAAACAGTAATTGCTGTCCTGAATTCTAACTTTAATCTCAGAATTCTGAGAAAAGTCAAAATTCTGAAATTAAAAAGTCAGAATTCCACAATTTTTACTCAGAATTCTAAGAATTAAGTCAGGATTCTGAGAAAAAAATTTTTTTTTTTGTGCAACACGGCCCAAATCCTCTTCCATACAAACTATATAATAGAAGCCTACTTGCTTTGTTTTTAACGTTATCATAAGGCTTAAGGGAAAACAGAAAGACCTATTATATGAACTGTCAGCTGTCTAAAGCATGTTGGGGAGCTACCCAAGAGTGGTCTGTGATCTCGGTTTCATGCCACTTGTAACAACTTGAAGCAGCTTTATGTGTTACTGCTGAAACAATGACTGTTCATGAGAATGCGAATGATTAAACCCCGAAAATTCACATAAACATCCAGACATATTTAGCTTAAAATGCACCTGCTCATGTGTCACATTAAATATATATTTTCAAATTGTTAATTATTAGCGTTAATTATTAATTTGTGCCCTAAAGGCTCAGAGCTTGCTTATTTTATACCGTACATCAGCAATTACTTTATATTAGTAGTTTTAGCCACACTCCAAACCCTTTAAAATATCTCCCCAAAAAATCACAACCTTGCTTTTCCACTGAAACAGCTGTTATAGACAGGAAATGTTATCATGCAGGCCATAATTCATGGTTTTCCTGGGCCCTCTAGAAGTCATAGAGGACCTCCAGAACAGTAGCCAGTGACCAGGCCTGGGTCTCACAGCTGAAAGGACAGTGCTGTCCGTTTTCATTGGTCAGCTCTGGCAGACCCTTCCATGGGGACCTGAGGCAGCAGAGGATGGAAAAAGTGATGAGAAAAGCCACCTCTTCATTATAGATGTCAAAAAAAACAAACAAAAAAAAAA